TTTCTCTATATGTAATTTTGCTTTTTGTATCTTTTTTCTTAATATGCTAAAGGGTATTAATTAGTGAGTTTAATAGTTTAGCTATATAGTAACCTTTAGCTCGATTTTGTAATCAGATGATCTACTGAGAGAGTTTTTGACTTGAAAAGAAAGAATATTCCTCTGAAACTCCTCTTGTATTTTTTTCTAAATATTAATAAATATATTATTATTAATAAACATAAACAAACTGCCTCTTTAGAGATAAGAATAGTTCTTTAATATTAAAAGAATTATATTTTCTTCTTTAATACTGCTTTTTAAAGTTTCTAGATAGCTATGTTTCTGTTACTGATAGTATATTAAAAAGATTATATTATCTGTAATATTATAATTCTTTAATGTTAAAAGAATTATAACTTCTTTTTTAAATACTACTTCTTAAAATAATTAGATAGCTATGTTACTGTTACTTATAGTGTACTAAGAAAGCTATGCTATTTGTAACAATATAAATTGTATATATAAAAAACCAAACTATAATAAAATTAGATAATACTTTGATTTTTATTATTATTAAAGCAGTTTATATTATCTAAAAGATTTTATTAGTTTATATATAAGATTACATATAAGTAGTTTCTACTATTTGTAATTATATAAAAAGTATATATATATATATATATATTATATTTCAAATTAATACTTATGTAAGCAAGACCTTACCTCAATCTACGAGTTGAAATTAAAAAAAAAAAATTAATACTTATATCAGATTAAAACTGATCTAAATTAAAAGGCAAAATCGCTCAAATGGAAATAAAATAAAATAAAATAAAATAAAACTGGTCTAAATTAGAGTTAAAATTAAAGCAGATCATTTTAATGCTGACATAATTTTTAAAGATAAAAATATTACCTAGAGTAAAAACTAGGTAAAATCTTAATAAATCAATCGGACTTTATTACTTTGGAGTTATTTAAATTTGTATTTATAAATAACTTACAATAAAAAAATAGATAAAATTACAAATGACAAATAGATAAATATACTGTATATTGTAATATCAAGATTCGACATTACTTTAAGCTAAAAATCATATGGAGTAGAAAAAAATGTTTATTTATGCAATCCGAAATCTTTAATCGAACGCAAATACTTTAGACGGGATTTATTATCATCAGCAGGCCCTGAATAAAATTGGTAAACTGTTTATTAGCACTTTTTTCAAGGCAAATCATACAGTGAAATTTAAAGACTATCACACATACGATCGATAGGTGTCCATTTTGGTTCTTCTTTAAACAATCCTAGTTAAAATAAGCGAAACGTTTTAATATATAACGTGACAATTATATACTTTAGTGGAAATATCAAAAGTACTAACTCATAGCTCTTAAACTGTTATTTTTGTCAAGAGTAAAGCGGTGGTAGATACCTTCCGGCTTTATAAAGTAATTTGAAAAAGCAATTAATATATAATAAGAAATAGATCCTAATATATGAAATAAAAATTTCTCACCAAAACAAGTAAATCCCCTTTACTAACAGCAATTCTAATCCAACGATCAGCACCATCTATTGATTAAAAATGTATATTAATATGAAAAAATTATTAATAATTGACCAAAATTTTATTTACCTCTAACGTCAAAGTATCCGGAACCATCAATAACATAACGAATTTCTTCATCTTCATGAAGATGTCTATATATTTGATAATATAATTAAGAATTGTAAAAAATTCTCAAAAAAGTTTCGATAAAAATTATTAATAATACTCTTTAAAAAATATCTCAAGCTTGCTATCGAAAGCATCACCTAGTCCTTCTTTCGAACAATTAATCTGTATCAATTATTCAGAATAACAAAATTCAATAAAATTCATATATATATATATATATACTTTTTTACAAATTGTAAAAATCACGAACTTCGTCACGATTTTTATAACCCCTTTCTTCACATAATTTATCTATTTGGTCTTGGTAGTCTTCTTGAAATTGCATGTAGAGAACGCCAATGTTTGCAAGCTCTTCAGGAGTTACCGGTGACAGAGGACTTTGTTCGTGCGGTTCACGAGGATCTGAGTTTTCGTTGTCATAATAATATGCACGCATTTTTCAAATTTTATGAGTTATGGATGAAGAAGAATATCCATATTTAAATGCAATTCTTGATGTTGGCAGATTTCCTGAACTACGAATCAGATTTCAAGATCAGATGTAGCGTAACACGATCAAGAAAATTCGAAAACGAATTTTACTGTGCCACCACATTCAAACTTTAAATGCTGAAATGATAATTTAGGCCTAGCGTTCGTACTATATTATTAATTATCAACGAGCTTCACTTTTATTAATATATTGCAAACAGCAATTCTATACTTTTATTAGTAACCTTTATTTATATTATTAAATTAAACAATATTGCTCATTTGATCTAAACCACATCTACGCTTGCTTAGCAATTCAACTTCTATAACATACAAGATACAAGTATATTATTGTGAAATAAAAGATCAAATTTATATTAGTAAAACGTTATATTCTCAAAAAGTATATATATAAGTTACCTGAATAAACAAGTCAAGCAAACCGGTCAAACAAATAAAACAAATAATAAAGGATCAGAAAAAACTATTTTGGGATCATTAAAAGTTGAGGTCTCGTTGGACTTGAACACAAGTTTTTGTGTTAAAATATTAAAAAAAAAACCCCCCAGAACTTTGAAAAAAAGTGTCACTTTTTATTACTATGTAAAATAAATCAACCAATCAGCAGACGATTTCGCGATAATCACATAACTGATCCTGCCCATATATAATTTATAGTATGGTGGTAAATTTGGTGTTTCGGATTGGTTGAGCTTATCACCGAACATTATGAACATTATCTGGTTAGCGCAAATAGTAAATTTGGTGGTTCTGATTGGTTGAGCTTGTATGGATCATCACCGAACATTGCGTAAGCTGTTGCACAAATAGATGCACTCGATCGTATTGGCCAAATTTTTTAGCCAAATTTGGTACAACACTAAATTAATTAAATTTATTTCCATTATTAGAACCAAAAGTAACGTCCATTTTGTTCCATAATATTTCTTAAGAGTGCAAGCAAAGAAGAAATGTCATATCCTTATAATATTAACAATAACGACCATAATGCTGCTGTTGGATATAATAATGATGGATATGCTGACTATGGAAATAATGACAATAAGTTTCAAGAGCAGCAATTTCAGCAAGCACAGGTCGTTTATGAAAATAATAGATATCCACCAATTGACAATAGACCGTCAAATTACAAGAACAATTTAGGTCCAGAATATTCACAAAAACCAGAACTTTTACAAAATTACAATAACGCTTCAACAAATTATTCTTCACCACCTTTAGAAGTGTACCCACCGTCGTCCGGAAAACAACCATATCAAGAAAGACAACAGCAAGGCATACCAGATCCTTCAATTCCAACATTTGGTCAACAAGAAATGCAGTCACAATATAGCACACAACAACAATTTAGTCCTTACGATCCAAATTATCCAAATTATCCAAATTATAATAATTATAATTCACCGATGCAAACACCTTTATATAATTATCAAATGCAAACACCACCAACGTCTTATGGCCATGATTTACCACCGGTGCCTCCTTCCAATTATAATCAAATTTCAAAACCAGGCTATTCTCCATCATCAAATAATTTAAATCAAACTCAACCATATTCATACTCAAAAGATCCTTATCATCAGATCAATTATTCTCAGCCTCAAAATACAACATATACATCAAATGATCCACGTCCTCCGAAGATTAATTCACCGCCATTAAATTTATCAAACAAACCTCGTCCTCCCGAAAATTATTCTCCACCTCAAACCACAGAAAATGCTTCATACACATCAAATGATCCACGTCCTCCGAAAAATTATTCTCCACCTTTAAATACAACATATACTTCAAATGATTCACGTCCTCCAAAAAGTTCTACTCCACCTCAAATCACTGAAAATTCTCCACGTCCTCCGAAAAATTATTCACCAGCTCCTAATACTTCATCTCAAAATAATGATTCTCATACCCCAGATAATTATTCACCCACACAAGTTGGAATGGATGCCACAACTTACGTTGGTGGAAATAAGAAAGAACGAATTTCGCAAAAGAATGATAATTGTTGTCCAGAAATTTCAATTTGTGGATGCATAAGATGTACATGCACACTATTTGTTCTTATTATTGGTGTAATTTTTATCATTATTGGTGTGGGAATGTATATTTATTCAAGGACGCTCCCTTCAGCATGTGGTTCGCCTTGTGATCCCAGTCAAATCACTAATTCAACAAATTCAACAACATCGGCTATTCCAGGCAATGTTACAGATACTGTTAATCAAACTGCTAACGATGGTGGCGCTCAATGTAAATTAATATGCCAGAAGATCATATATAATGTACTACAATGGGGTGGAATTGGTTGTTTTGGTTTAGGTGTATTAATAGTATTAATACAGGTTTTAAAAATGCTATGTAGACTTGGTAAAGGAGGATCAAGTTGTTGTTTCTGTTGTTAATCTTTTAATTAAAGAAATTTAAAAATTTAGTCTAATTTCAATTTTAAAATTTAAAATACTGTAACTTAATAATTAATATTAACAACTTGTATTAAAAATAATTTTATTTTAATAATAATTATTCTTATATAATAAATTATTGTAGTCATTTTGCGTTTATGATAACATTATAATTTTTATAAAAAGTAATTAATTTTAAAATCAGAGTTAGTATTAGAATTATATTAAGAGGTTAGGTTGGGATGAATTAAAAACCCTAATGGCGATAGTATGCCAGCAAGACACCTTAAATCAGAAAATAAAAACATAATTTTTTAAAAAATAAAAAATAGTTAATTGGCCATATAAAAATAATAAATTTTTAAAAACATAATAAATTTTTGAGAAATTAGCCAATCAAAATTCAGTATTTTGTCCTACGTACACTTTTTAAAAAAGGTGTTGGTTTAAGGTATCCTACGTACTACAGTGCGTAGGTCTTTTTAAATTTAGTGAATTAGTGCCAAAAATGATACATATAAAAAAAATGTTAAATTCCTATGGTTAACGTTAGATAAATTTGGCGCCAAAGGGATATATCGTTTCTACGTAGTAAAGGTAGTGATAGCTAAAAAATAAGATAGAATTACTAAATTTAGCTAATAAATTATTTGAGTACGTTCTGAGAATAAAAAAAAAAACTTTCTTTCTTTACAGCATTCTTCTTTGATTGATTTGATTGGTCAACAGTCACGTTTGGATAGCTGATAGAATGTCTTCTTATGAACGAATGATTAATTAATACGTGAAATACCAGAACATTATACATATACGTACAGTACCTAGCCACGGCGTTAGTCACAGCCACAAACGGAAAATTTTTAAAAAAGGTTTACAATAACGATAAAATAAAATTCAATATTTTTTCGCAAACGTGTCATCCCAAAGAAGACAGAGTTCGGACCGCCTTAGTAGCATTTATAAAAAATGGATCAACTTAATAATTTAACGTTTTGGGATGTTAAAGATGCCTTAAATAAAGTGTATGTAATCTGATTGAAGTGTACAGGCGCAAGTCATTTTTGCGAATTAAATACTAAAATTTTAATTTATACATTAGGAAAAACGTAGTTATGAACTACACAGAGATGGAAGCAAAGGTTCGAGAGGCAACTAATAATGAGCCTTGGGGTGCCAGTAGCACTTTGATGCAAGAGATTGCGCAAGGGACATATAGTTAGTGAGTAGACTATAAACATCTTTGCTTTGTAACCAATAAAAATGTTCTTTTTTGACGCCATGAAGGGTCTTCTTTTCATTTCTTAAAGTCAGAGTTTCAATGAGATCATGACAACAATCTATAAGCGATTTACCGAGAAAGAAGCTCGACAATGGAGGCAGATATACAAGGTAAAGAACTTTTATTTAGATGTTTCGTATTGACACATGACTTACACATACATATTAGGCACTACAATTGCTTGAATATCTCGTGAAACATGGCTCAGAAAGAGTAGTTGATGATGCTCGAGCACATATGGCTACTATTAAGATCATGCGTAATTTCACTTTTATTGATGATAAGGGAAAAGATCAAGGCATCAATGGTAAGTTGTTTTTTTTAAAAAAAAAATAGTATTAGCCAAAAATAGTCAAGCTCATAGTTGATTTCAATTTATTTCAGTTCGGAGCCGTGCAAAGGAACTCGCTGAACTATTAAGCGACGTCGAGAAAATTAGGCAGGAAAGAAGAAAGGCAAAAGCGAATAAAACAAAATACACAGGTGTTAGTTCAGATGCTATTGGTTACGGTGGCTCATCATCTCGTTACGGAGGGTTCGGAAATAATGATACTTTTTATTACAGTAAGTATTACGTGCGGATAAGCCATTATAATATATAAAGACATATTGATCATAATTTGCTACTTGAACAGGCGAAGATAGATCACGCTCCCGATATGACGAACCAGACTCACAATGGCAAATCGATTATAGGACAAGTAGAAGCTCTCTTAATGAAGAAAGAAGAACTAGTAATAGTGGTGCATCTCGTCTCAGTCAATCATCCAATAAAAAGATAGTTGAAACATCGACTGAGACAGCTAATTCAGATGAACCGGCGACTGCAAACACTGAAGTTAACTTATTCGACTTTGATGATACTCCAAGTACTAATCCTAATTCTGCACTTCAGAATGATTTTGGCGCGATGCAAACGGCATTTATTGGTATTAATTGTTTTACCTGTTTCAGTCATAATTTTTTTTTATAATACTCTGGATATTTCTGAATTTTCTACAGAAGACTCCATATCTACACTATTATTAACTCTTAGTATAGCCTATTTAAGTTTATCATCATAGTAGAAAGTTGCAAACTTTGTGCAATTTTTACAATCTGCCTCCCTTGCAAAATATACTATTGCATTCCTCTTATTGTTGTGGTTAGTATTCCTGAAGATATGAAGAGCTTTAGCTCCTATACATTTTACCTGTTTCCACAGAAGTATTTCGTTTGTATCCTCTAGGAGGTCAAATATTTTTCTTGAGAACTTGCTTTGTGTCTTGAGTTTTTCTGAGTTATTTTTCTTAGAAATAATTCTGACTAAGCAGTTACTCAAAAATAGAATACACCATATATCTTCTAGGACTTTTATATAAATAGTATTTGGAATAAACTTTATTTCTGCACATATTTTACTATATGCTTCTTTAATAATCTGTATGAGGCTGACTCTTCTGAGATGGCATACTGATTCAAAGATATGTATTCTTTTTGTCCAAGTTGAAAGGTTCCATATTGTGATTATATTCTCTTTTGAAGATATTTTCTCTTTTTCCTCAAAAGCTTTCTTCATGTAACTGCTTTTCTTTTCTTCAGTTGCTGAAACTTGGTATACTTCTTGAATAAGGCTCTTTTTTTTAAGTTTGGTTGGTTTGTTCTTTACTGTCTTGTCGATAATACACTTATGCTTTTTCTGTACTTTGTACTCATCAAATAGTACTTTGTACTATTCAATCTCTTTTTCTTTTAGTTTCTCTCTTAATATCTTTAGACCTTTACAATAGTCGAATTCAATAACTACTTAACTGTTACCATTCTCAAAGTGCTCTTCAACTTTTTTTATATAGCTATTTCTGTATATAGTTCCTTTGATAGACTTGATACGTTCTTCCTTTGTTTCACCTAGAAGTAAAATAGAAGCAATTCTTGCTCTGAAGTTACCTATATCTTCGCATGAGTTTTTATTAGGCACCTAAAGGCTATTCTCAAAAGATGATCCAAGAAGCTCTTTATAGTTTGCAATTGCATAGTCTAATTGCTTCTTCAAGTACTCTTTCAGGCTATTAATTTCTATTTGTGAGGTTCCTAGAGTAGCATTTGCTACATCTTCTAGGATTAAGTCCTGAGTTCTTAATGCTAGATCCTCTGACTTAATCTCTGTAGATTCAATACTTATTATAATACTTTTTTTACTACTACTTAGCAAATTCTTTATGCTACTCGTCTCTTGTGCATTTAATAATTTACGAGTATCTTCAGATTTTTTCTCCATAAAAAGAATCTCAACTGCTGTTTTGTTTTTATTTGAGAGTTTGCTATTTAGATACTCAATCTCTTAAGTGATAATTGATTTGTTATTGCTACTTGAATTCTTTACTTTAGCTTCTTTAGCTGCTTCCATATTAGTAATTAGTATTTTAACTTCTAGCTTTGGCTATATCATACTGTTTGCTTCTTGTATCATATCTTTAGCTATTAGATCTTCTATTATATTTTGAAATTTGCTTTCTTTCGGATTTGCTATGCTTTTTTTGAACTCTTCTACTTGACGCAGCTCTTGTTATAATTCAATAAGTACATCATTTAGGAGCTCTTTGCTCTTTTCTATAATTATTTTCTTTATTATTTTGTGCCAGTTTCTGGTTATAGTAATTACTTTAATACTAACACCTGTAATTCTTGATATATACTCGTCAATTTGCTCTCGATGTCTTTCTATTTCCTCAATTATATTAGTTATCTTTTGAGGTTCTTCTATTTTAAGCAGAGCTTTAATACTTGCTACCTTCTTAGGTCTCATTTCACTTATATTCGAAGTGACTTCAGTTTTTTTTCAAAAATCTCTGAGATATTTCTTATTTGCTTACATTTTGTCCAGTTTCTGACTTGTATACTTCTATTCTATTAGCTTATACATGATACATCTAATCAGTAGTCTATACATGTGAAGATTGTTTATCTTGTTTTGAATTTTGTGTAATGTAGAATGATTTGCGATACAGAATAAGTTGCTATTTCCACTTTTTCTAAAAAATTCTTCGTATTTTCTTTGAAAACCTTATTATCTGCTAAATAATTCTAGTAGTTCCAAAGATTTTGCCTTTACTATATATAATTTTGTGTGCTCTATCTTTTTCCTTAGTATAACTTAAGTTGTTTCTTATTGTAGTTTTTTAGATATGTATGTTTTTACTTTAGTACAAAATTTGGCAAAATGATCTACAGGAAAGAGTTGTGAAAAAATGTTTTTGAAAAAATCAATTCTTTAAATTAATGAATAGCTTTTTTTAATATAGTATTCTTGTCTCTCAAAAAATATTCTTTTAGCATATCAAAAAAAAAATTTAAAACTTCATAATAATTACTCAATTACTTTTAATCTCAAATAATAATATAGAAATTAATAACCTTAACTTAAACTCTACAAATACAACTACAAATTATAACTAACTAAATTTAATATATAATTTTCTTTCTCATTCTTTAAAAACAATAACAACTCTTAGCTTTAAAAACAATAAAATCCTCTTTATAGAACAACTCTTTATAGCAAACAACTCAAGCCTACTACTCTGAAATAATATTACCTCTATACTAATAAAATATTTAAAGGTCATATACTTTTATAATAAAAAATATCTTTAATACTCTCACAAACTATTATTAATTCAATTATTCTCTAAATCTTTTTATAAATACACTTGATTTAATTATAATTTCTACTACTTCCCTCAAAACAAATTGGTTTATATACTCAACTAATCAAATATACTTTATTAGAAAAACTATAGCTCACTACACTACCTATATAACTTTTCAAAAATATATTATAATATCTCAAACAAATAAAATTATCATAATCTTACCTTTACAATTATTTATAAAAATACTACTAAATCATATTTTAAATATCAAATATAAAAGTCAAAAAGAAAATTAAATTTTAAACTATCTATTAGCAATTTTAAAATTAAAGATCTTATCCAAATCTCTAACCTTTACTACTTCCTATTATACAAATTCTAAATACTAAAATATCTCTAATTAAAAATACAATTAACTTATCCATATATTAAGAATAACTCATAAAATTATGTAATCTTTTTCTTAACCTTCCTCTCAATAACTTATCTAAATAAATAAAGGGCGATTCTCGGTCACTAAATTTATGTAAGAAAATAGACGATTCTCTGTTACTAAATTTATGTGAGAAAAAATTTTTTTGTTTTTTTCGAGTTTCACAAAAGGGTGATGAATTATCATGTGACAAATAAACATTTACTATATGTTTAACATAGTAAATGTTTATTTGTCACATGATAATTTATCACCCCTTCAGTAAAGTGTATAAAAAATATCGAAAACCCAAAAACCCAAAAACGGCAAAAAAAAAAATTTAATTGCCGATTCTAAATTTGGATTTAATCCAAATTTAGATTAATAATTAATGATTATCATACGTATATTGCATGCATGCAGCTT